ATTGCCCAGATCAAATTGTCTGTGAGGGACAGTCTTTATCGTTAATTGATGCAGGGGAATATCCTGGGTCCCTGTTGTGGAATGCTCCAAGAACACTGGCTGATACCCTCTAAATCAGAATACATGTGATGACTGTATGTGATTGCCTTTGAGAGACCCTCAACAAGAGCTGTTGGCACTTGCCCTTATAGGAGTCGGGGTGAGTAGACCTCGCCTGAGATTTTATCCACTCTCTCTGCTCTGTGTCCCTCCCCTCCTGGCTGTGTGTGACTGAGATGTCGGGAGGGAGGTACTAAAGTTTATAGAGTGTGCAGCCATGGGCGGGGGTCGGTACCAACACTGCGTAAGCAGCCTCCCTTCCATAACCCTGTGAGTGAGTAACTAACAATCTTACTGGTCACCAGGATGGATTTGGATGACATCATTACTTTTGTCTGTCTCTGGTGCCCTAACTGGGGTGAGCAGGTGTCCGAATTCCCCCAGGAAAAGCTCACAGTCATCACAGAGAGGAACTTGAGCCACTTCAGCCACAGCCAGGCTCCACACAGGCAACTCCATGCCCCACCCCTATCCAGGCATCAGGGTTAATTCCCAGCTGCCAGCCAGTATTTAACTTTCCACATAAGATTAAACATTTGGATTTGTAAAAGGGCAGGATTGCAGACTCTAGTCATCGAGGGCTTGCTGGGACTCAAGCAGAGAGTGCCCAGCCTGCCGAGGTTTATTTGCGGTCCTGAAGAGCTAAGGCCAGCAAGAGAGGCAGAGCCTGGCTTTCTGGAGACGTCTTGCATTGCTCACACACTGTGGGTAAGTTTATTATACATTCTTTTTTAAAAGAGAATTACAGAACTTTTTTCCTCTACAGAAAACTGAATATCACACACACACACACTCTCTCTCTCTCTCACACACACACACACTCACACACACACATTCACTCACACTCTCTCACACACATACTCACACACACACTCACAACACACTCACACACATACACACACTCACATTCTCACATATGCACACTCACACACTCTCACACACACACACTCACACTCTCACACACACTCTCTTACACACACACACACACATACACACACACGGGGCATGTCTCCTTCATGCCTGCCTTCCTTCCCTCTAGCCCTTCTCCCTCCCTAACCTTTCCTTGATCCTTTCTTCACTGATTGCCTTCACCTGAAAATGTTGACAGGTATTTTCAAATGTAGGTAGTCATATCTATTTCCACAAAAACACAAGACTCTGCTGTCTGTTGTAGGCTCCGATAATGGGAGTGATCCATCATACTTTGAGCAAAGAAAGCTTTGGTCATCCGGGTCAAATGCGTGTGACTTTCCTTGTAGTGTCCAGATTGCCCTTGGCAGGTCACCTCATATGTTTGTGGAACCAGGAGATCATTCAGTGGCCCGGAGGCAGAGCCCTGGTCTCAGCCTTTTGTCCTTTATGCAGCTGCATCCACCAAACACAGGAGGTGAGGACACGGGCTATGTCAGGCTGAGTACTGGGCTCTGGCCCGGGTCACGAGGGTTCTACTAGCCCAGGCACGGAGGCCAAGTCGAGAGCCCTGATTTTAGACAGCCCTAAGCGCTAGGCTGCAGATGTAACCCGACCAAAGAACAAGCTGGTCTCTGATCTCCGGGGACCCATCCTGTTCCGAGGCTCAGTGAGAACCATTTAGTGGAGATACTCTTCCCACTAGGTGGAACCACGTGACGCTGACCTACACAGACCTAAGGCAATTTCATACAGTTCAAATGATTGTGCGTTACTGAAGTACAGTGCCTGCCTTGGGATTTGTAAGGGTGCATGTGTGTGTCAAATACGGTGGCTGTCTGTCAAGTCAGTGGTTAGTCTAGGAGTCAAAATTTACATTAACCCCTTTATCATTTTTAATGTTAACTTGTTATTTATCCTTTGCAATTTGCATATTTTAAAATTTTTTTATTTGTTTTACATTTGTGTGTGTGTGTGTTTGTTTATGTGTGCATGTGTGTGTGCATATGCGTGTGTGATACAGTACCCATGTGCGAGTCGGAGGACAACCGCAGTGTGCAGCCAGCCTTCACCTTTGAAACAAGGTCTCCTGTTTGCTGCTGTGGTCTCCCGGCCAACTGGACCGTTTGTTAAGTTCCCAAGATCCTCTGTATCCACCCTCCCATCTCACCCCAGGAGTGTGGGGATCCTATTTGCAGGCAAGTGCTGCTGTGTGCAGCTTTGCATGCCTTCTGGGGGGGATACAGACTCGGGATCTCAGGCTTGCTAGTCAGCATTTTACCCAGGGAACCTCTCCCTGCCTCTGCCTTTACTATTGAAGATTAGCGCACCAAGTGTTCCTTCTCCCTTGCCGCTCCCCCCATCCCCCCGCTGACCCCGTCTCATGCTGTGTCTTTCTGCCCCCAATATTCTCTCCTCCACTTCCGTCGTGCCTCAGCCGGGTACGTTCTAACATGATCTCTGTCAATGAACTCGCTTTCACACAGTGCGTCTTTCCATGGTCATGAAACACCGGCCTTGCCAGCTGAGCCGTGCCCCATTGCCTCAGTATGGAAAACCGCGAACCCTCTCGGTCCCTGCTTGCTGAGGCTGGGCAGAGGTCAGCTCCCAGGCATTTGTTTAATCCTCACAGGCCCTTTCAAGCCTGTGATTAAGTCTGAACAAAAAGCACCCGTGACCTGTTTAGCAGCGAAGAGCCGAGCAAATAGTGGGTGGCGCAGGCCACTGGGCTCTCAGGGCTGGCAGCCGTGCCCGCACCGGGGAAGCAGGCTTCAGTGGAAGAGATTCTTAGGCTGTGGGGAGCCCAGGAGCCCCGAAACTGAACTTAGAGCTTCCTATGTGCACTCATAAACCTTATGGGGAAGAGTAATCGTGGCGGCACTCCTTCCCAGCTAATATCTCTGCCATGTCTCCTGGAAAGTGTTCTTGTACACCGGGGAGCAATCTCTTGTGTTTGCTGACTTTCCCTTTAAGCTACCAGGCTTTGAGCGGTGGGGAGAAGGAGAGAGAGGGCAGGATCTTAGAGACATTTGAAGAACAGAAGTTAAAATGTCAGGTGAGGGGTGGAGCTATGGCGTAGCAGTTAGGAGGACTTGCTCTTGGAGAAGACTGGAATTCAGTTCCCAGCACACACATGATGGCTCACACAGTGTCTGTAACTCCAGGTCCAAGGGACCCAACATCTTCTTCTGGCTTTCTTAGGCACCAAGCATGAACATAGTGCATATCCATACATGTAGGCAACACACACACACATATAAAATTAAATACATCCTTTTTTTTTTTTTTTTCCAGTCAGATAAAGAACATGTATTAGGAACAGGATTCTCAGTGAGGGCAATTTGGGAAGATGTGTTCCATGGGAGATGTCTGGAAGTCTGGGGTGATCTTCTGATAAGGAGTTGTAACACGGAGAGTACTGACACACGTTCAAGGCAGCTCCCACGCGGGGACATAAGGCGTCAGTGGGTTAGTGCAGACTCAGGCCAGGCCAGGTAAGTCGTGTTAAGGGATTCGGAAGTTATTTTTAGGTCCCACATCCTGTGATGTAAGGTGATGGCATTACCCTAGTTCCTTCTTATAAGGTGAGCACCCTTGTGCAGAGAGAGAGAAGGGTACAGGCAGCCTAAAGATGTTTCCCGAAGGATCGAACAGTGTTTCAGAGAGATGACAGAGGCTGGGCAGAGGCAGTGGGGAGGAAGAGGAGATGGATTTGAGAACTGAAGAATGCTCAGTTTATGTCTTGGCATCGCTATCTGAAACACTTTTCTATTTTGCACACATGTGCGTGTGTGTGAGCACGTGTGCGCATGCGCATGCGCGTGTGTAAAACCTGTCTACTAGTCACATCCAACCTCTTGACATTGTGACAAATGTCATCAACTAAGTTCACACACTGGAACTGTGAAATCAAGTAGTTACAAAGAAAAAAATCTCATAAATTGCAACACACATATTTTACACATACACACCTTAACACACACAACACACACTATGCTACATACAACACACATATATACCACACACAACACATACATACACCATACATAAACACACATAACACACACACATACACTACACACATATACCACACACATTACACACACACACTTCATAATGTCATATTGTTTTCAGTATCTTTATGCATTAAGACTGCATTCATAGCTCCTGTGTCCTTGTAGCCCATGGGCCACAGGTTGGGCACACCTAATAAGCCTAGGACATAGGACATATTTAAAAAAAAATCTATCTTTGCAAACTTTTACCTCAGTGCTGTGTCTAAATCCCCACAATTTGTCAAAGTAAAATGCCCGCTGTTTCATTCAATAGCAAGCATGCTGGATGAAATATATATATGATGCATTTTGCATTGGCTGACAGGTTGCTGGAGTTTTTCCACACCAAAAAAAAAGGTGCAAGATTATTGATGAGAATTCAACATTCAAGAAAAATACCAAGAAAAGCAAAAAATATCAGGATATATATACATATATAAATATATATGTATATATACCCACACACACATTTTGATCTACTTCCTTTTAGTCTTTCAACATTTTAATGTGTGCATATATAATTATGTATAAGCATCTTTATATAGATATAGATATATATATTTATGTCTTCTATTACATCTATTGTAATAGTGCGTTCACACAAAGAATAAAAACGAGTGTTTAAAGACTACCCAATTTTGAATTCCGTCTATCACTATCGAGGTTAAGAATGGCTCGGAGGTTAAAGAGATCAATTCCTAGCAACCACATGGTGGTTCACAAAAATCTATAATGAGATCTGGTGCCCTTTCCTGGTGTGCAGGCAGACCACTTTATACATAGTAAATAAATAAATCTCCAAAAAGAAAGAAGGAAGGAAGGAAGGAAGGAAGGAAGGGACTCTCCACTGGCATCTGCCTTCCTACCTCCCTGAAGGCAGCCAAATGGAGGAGGGGCCTTAGCCTCACTAATCTCTATTGTCCTTTAGTTATAGCCGGGGGAAACATGGCTACATTAGCCAACTTCACACAGACACTGGAGGACATCTTCACAAAGATCTTTGTCACTTACATGGACAACTGGAGGCAGAACACAACAGCAGAGGAGCAGGCGCTTCAGGCCAAAGTCGACGCCGAGAACTTCTACTACGTCATCCTGTACCTCATGGTGATGATCGGCATGTTCTCCTTCATCGTGGTGGCCATCCTGGTGAGCACGGTGAAGTCAAAGCGGCAAGAGCATTCCCAGGACCCCTACCACCAGTACATCGTGGAGGATTGGCAGGAAAAGTACAAAAGTCAGATCTTGCATCTGGAAGAATCCAAGGCCACCATCCATGAGAACATGGGGGCCACAGGGTTCACAGCGTCACCCTGATAAATGACGGGCATACATCCGGCTATGAAAGGGTTGCCCCTGCCACCTAGCAAGTCAGTTCCTCTCTGAGCTGAAACCTTTCTCAGTGATGGCCTGGCTGACCAGTTGACACGTGACATCTCTATCTCAATGATTTTTACATGAGCCCATCGGAGTGATACTTTGTGTTGAAGATCTCCTTTTTACTTGCTGTGCAATGTAAATGCATTTTAAATCAGTTTCATTTATGAGAATAGATCCAAACCTGTAGCACAGGGCCTGGGCAGGGGCAGTGGGAATAGAAAGCTGAGATTTGCAAATCCTTTCACCTTCTCTCTCATGTGAAATATTAGTGTGAACGTAGCACATTCAATTTATGAATAAGTCAAACGTGTCATTCAGAAGCCAAGGTTTAAATCTATCACGGGCTTGCCGAGCTGACAGGTTAGCATTTACTTACTGACTCCATGGTGATAAATGGACAGAGGCATGGGGTTATTTTGCACACCCATAGTCCCAACCCTCAGGAAACTGAGGTGGAAGAAGCCAGCTCAGGTTCAAAGCCATTCCAGATCCATTGTATTGGAAGGTCAGTAACAATGCTTCTTGTTCTTAAAAACTGCTAAGTAGAGAGCATGGTGGCCCACACCTTTATCCCATCATTCAGAAGGCAGAGGCAGGCAGATCTCTGTGAGTTCAAGGCCAGCCTGGTCTACAGAGAGTTCCAGAACATTCAGAACTACAAAGAGAAACCCTGTCTTGAAACAACAAACAAACAAAAATTGATGAGTGGATGTCAAGTGTCCTTACCTACAGGAGATGTTGTATGTTAACCATTGCACAATGTGTATATGCTTCCAAATACCATGCCATGTGTGTGCATACAATGTAACCTATCATTAAAAAAATAAAATGGATATTTTGTACATGGGGTACAGCTTGCCAGAGGTGAAGGTCACCTTGGGGTTTCACCTGTACCCTTCACCTACAGATAAGAAAGCTGCAATCTATCAAGATTAGACTTTTTTCTTCATCAATTCAACCATGTGACATTTGTCTTCTTGGGTTAGCAGCCTGGGACCCGGGGCTGAAAGGAGGGTGAGCTCCCTGGAGCTGCAGCAGCTCACACGCCGGGGAAGCAGTCAGCTGGGCTCTAGACTGTGAGGAATCTTAACACAGGTCGGCAGGAAGTGGATACGGCCAGAGCAGAGCAATGGCAATCCCGACATAATTCTTGAAAGTGGAATGTACTTCACACCCCCATCTTTCTGCTGCCATGGCCAGGGCACAGCAATTCTGAGGTTTCGTGCCTCGGAGCATTGAGACATGACTCAAGGACACCCATTTCTGTTGCCCCAAGAGATGACCTGACTGGATAATTGGTAGAGGTTTACTTGAGTTCATGGTTCTAGAGGCTGGGAAGCCTGTCGGCATGGACACTGGCATCTGCTACATTCCTAGTGAAGCCTCACACTGCTTTGATTTGTGGCAGGAAGAGGAAGGCCCCGATGGCGTGTGCATAGGAGACGCCAGATACGACCTCTTTGCAACAGTGCATACCCTGGTGTTGATCAGTCCAGTGAGTAAAACTCTCTCCACCAAAGGCCATGCATTCCTTCAGGGGATCCTTCTCAGATGCCCCCACACCACAACATATTGGGGACCAAGTTTTAACATGAGTTTGGGTGACCACAAACCATAAAACCAACTACAATGTCTCTTTAGAGTCGCAGAAGGAGATATACACAAAGTATCTGCTTCCTACATCATTTTGCATTTAGCAACCCGAGGAACTAAACAGTGTTACAGAGAGGCATTCATAGTCCAAGACAAGACTTGTCAGGAGTGGCCTCCTCCCTCAGACTAGAAGCCATAACTCGGATGCACACTAACACCATCATGGTAGATGGCCTTGACCCAGAGATCCCGGCCTGGGGCTATATCTAGCCAGGGTTTCTATCCTGGCAACAGGCTTTTCATTTTTATCAGACTCTCGTCAAGGCCCTCTGAACCCTTCTTCCTAACTAGGCCCCAGCCGTGGCCAGTAAAAGCTGAGTACTCTTGGTACAAATTATTTCATCGACTTCATCGCCTAAAAAGCTTGATCAAACATTTTTTTTTTTTTTTTCTGTCAGCTCAAAGCTGAGTCCTTGGAGTTATCCCAGCCCCTTAAAGAACCTGCCTGAGAAAAATACACCAACAACCAGGTGACCGGACTACACAATCCAGTCACAATAGGCAGAGAGGCTACTGGCTTCTCCTGGCAACTACAGATCCTCTCTTTTCCTGTTCTTCTACCATCTTAGAAATGCAAACACCGAGACACTGCAAGAATAATCCTTCTAGCATCTAGAAATATCTCTTTGAAATGCAAACATTAAGGCTCCACTGGATATGAGCTTTGCAGGTCTGTCTGAGTCACATATGGAGAATTTTTTTTTCTCCTTCAGAGCACAGATCACATGGACTCTCCCGTTCCTACCGTCTGTAAATTTCCACTTGGTTTATCTGCCACCCAGGAAAATATATCGGTGACTAAATTGAATATTTCATCATTAAGCATATTTTATCAACAACGCTGGAAAGTATAGTTATAACTTGGATTGTAGTCAGTGGATAATATTTGGTGGGAACAGGAGAAATGCTACGTCTTTATGTAGTAGTTAATATGGTCAACTCGACAGGGTTGAGACAAGCCTCTGGGTTTGTCTGTGGTAATTGTCTAGATAGGGTTAAATGACAGGGAGAGACATACTCTAAATCCCTGGGCTGGGTTGCCGGATGGACTAAAAAGGAGAAGACCAAATGTGCACAAAACTCCATCACTCTGTGCTTCCCCGCTGTGCACTCTCTGGCCAGCCTAGACAACCCTCCCCCTTCCCTAAGTGGCTTTTGTAACAGTGCAGGCAACTAACACATTGGACATGCATGCTGGGTGTCCGGTTGTCCATTCATTTATTCCAGCCTCCAAAGCGAGGCTTTTCAAATGAAAATACCCATTCAAACAGCTGGGGTTTTTGTTTGTTTGTTTATAAATCCATCCCTTTTAGAGTTCTTTCTGCTTAGCCTGCAGGTTCAGCACAGCAGATTCGAAGCTCTCTCAAACGGAGCTGGGCTGACCTGACTCTGGCTGCACCACCTACGGTGAGCCCTAATTCTGCCACAGGCTAGCTTACCTCTGAACAAAGTATTCTCTGTGCTTCCGTTTCGTCCTTGTGAAATGGTTATAATCATAGTGTGTCCTTTATAGGCCTCATAGATTTAAATTATGCAACAGTCTCGAAACGCTTACAACAAAGGTTTATTTGTTACTTTCTCTGAAAACAAAACGAAACAAAAAACTTCCTTTGTTGGCACAACCAAGTGTGCTTTTGCACGCTAGCACGGTCTACTCGTCTCCACAAAGAAACATAATGAGATCTGAAGCTAGATTTCTTGGGTTCAAATATCCACCCTGCCGCTGCAGTTTGTGGGACGCCTACTGCCAGCGCAGGCATCGGCTTTCCCCTCCACGAGAGAGGAGTTGAGGAGTGAGCACTTCCCCTCTCCACAGCCTTGTCCAGCCGGGGCTGTTCTGTGTGAGCCTCCCCACCCAGCACGGGTTAACCCAGGAACCCGGGTTAAAAAATAAATAAAGCAGAGACATCCTTCAGTTATCCCAGAGGACGATGCATCCATGTTGTCCCCATGGAGGAATGCTAAGTCTGGAGAAAAGAACACTCTGGGAACCTTCCACTGTCCTCAGCTGTGGAGACCAGCGAGTCGACATCCAGAGAATGCAGCCAGCATCAGAGCTGTGGCGCACCCTTAGGGGTCCGGTTTGCATTTCTGCAATAGCCTCATTACCCTGGACATTTTGCCCGATGCCCTGGCGCCTGCGCTAGGAGATACAGGTGCCTGGTCCCGGCTAAGGGGATCAACCTGCGCAGCTGACTGCAGCCTACACCCACTGCGCCTGCGCATCAAGCGGTGACCTTCACGACGGCGCTTGCGTAGGGAGGAGCGGTGCGTTTCGGGACTTGTAGTTTTCCCGACGGGGTTGTGGGAGTCGTGGTTTGTCAGCACCCGGCCGGGAGGCTCCGCCGCCTTGAGTTGTAAGTGTGTGATTGACGCTTGGGGCGCTGGGGAACCCTCGCCACCCCGTGTGTGTGCTTCTCCCGCATGACACTTTGCTGGCCGCGGCCACGCAGCGCACGGGGACATTCTGGTCGCCTTGCTCTGGGGACGAAGGGAGGGAGAGGAGGCGGTAACTCCGGGCCCTGGAGCGAGGGCTGCAGCTCGAGTGTGTTGGGGTTGGGGGCCCGGCTGGAGAGCAAAGCCCCGCTTGATCCTGCGGTGCATAGGGTCCCTAGGAGCGCGGGCGCCAAAGTCGTCCAAATGGGGCGTGTAGTTCCAGCGAGTGGCTCTGGTTTCTCGGAGGATCCCCAAAGTACTGAGCGTTATGGTTTGGGCTGCGCGGACGGGTGGGTCTGGATTTCGTGAAAACCGAGCCCTGCGTGCGCTTAGCGGGCTAAGTGGGGCCCAAGCGTCACCGCAACCGGAACCCACCCGCACTGTAACTATAAAGTTGGGTGAGGAGTTACAGAGAGAGGAGTCGAGACTGGCAGTGAGACCAGCTCCAGAGAGTGCCCGCGGCTGCTCGGGCGGGCTGTACGCTCAGATGGGTGCACCCTTGACTTCCTGCGGCCTGCCAAGAAGCCAGGGGAGCTCGGAGCCATATATTGCCCGTGTTGTTTTAACTGGCCTGACCATAATGAGCGCATGCATTTTTTTTTGTTCCTGAAGAGGGAAACAAAACTGGCAAAGGAGATAAGAGAGATTTTCGATAAAGAGTAAAACTACTAGCAGTTTTCTCCAGACCACGTTGTTATTGTCGAGGTTAAGCGTGGGTACCCGTGTTTCATTTATTTTAATGCCCCCAGCTGTCCCCACCGCGGGGGGGGGGTTCGTTTCATCCCTCCCAGGCCAGCTGCCTCTTGTTTCTGGGCGGGATCAGGAGTACGGGATATCAGAGCGGACTGCTCACTGTTGCATTTCCCGAGGGCCTGCAAGCTGCCCTGAAAGCGTCTGCTTTGGCGCGTGTAATCTAAAGAAGCAGTGGGTGGAAACCAGCAGGGCCCATCTGGGGTCGTTTGCCTTCTTCTATTCACCCAACCCACTCTGAGCATTGCATAGTTCCTTTTTCTTTTACTTCTCCCTCTTTTATTCCTCCTCCCCTCTTCCCCCTTCTTGGGCAGCACCCCTGTATCTGAGACTGCGAGAGTTGCATCCACTTCCCAAATGCTAGGTCTAGAGGGGCATGCACTGTGCCTGGGTTATGAGTTACTTGGGGTTGAAGCTAGAGCTGTGTGCACACCAGGTCAGCACACCTGACCTGAGGGAGGGAGGGAGGGGCCAGGAGAGAGAGGAAGAGAAAGGGAGGAGGGGGAAGACAGGCTGAGTCTTACCAACCCTGTTTCCTTCTCGGAGGCCTTGACTTTTAACCCTATGGTTGCCTGTGACATACATTCCTGAGTGGGAGACTCACTCTTTGGACCCTAGGGTATTACAAATAAGAGGCGCAGGAGGTTAATAGCTTTCCCAGATCGAATGCCCAGCCATTAGTGCCACCTGGAGTAGAGTCCCGACCTCCTCCTTTATTACCCTACCCTGGCTGTCCTGTGCTGACTACCGCCCGCCCTGGCGTGGCTTGTTATCTGGTTAGCAGAGGAGGGAGATTATTGAAGCAGCAATGCTTGACATTGATGTAGTAGTGATTTCTGTGTGCTGTACGTGGTTCCTAGTGATGGCTGGCCAACTTCTGAAGGAGAATTTGAGGTGAAGAAGGGTTTGAGAGGTCAACTACCTGACCAAGGTCACATTGCTCCTAAATGTAATATGTTTGCCAGACTTCAGGACCCCCGGGGATTATTTTCACTTACTTGCTATTATAAGCTTCTTGGGCCTATTTGTTTCCCTTGACCTAAGCCTGTGTATATCAATTCACACAGGCAATTTGTGGAAACAGTTAAATCACTGGCTATATATGTATACAACTCAGTTAAGACAGTTATAAAACTAAAATGGAAAAGAACTTCAATATCTTGTCTTAATATGCAGCATGGCTAACCCCTGAAATGACTAGAGATTCAAAGTATAGATTCTGGCAGCAGGTTGTAACATGCAGAGGGCCCATGCTTTCATTGTAGGTCAGACTCTGCTGCTGCTTAGCGGTGAATGCATGGAGGCAGTGGACGCCTTTAGACACTGCAATCACATTTGAACAGAGCTCTGAATTAAGCTCTTATTGGTTTATCTGACTTTGCACAAGCCAAGGGAAAAACTTGGTTATCTGGTGCCAATAGCCAGCTGGTTTTCAAGTTCTATAACCTTGAATAGATTGAGCTCTGAATTTTATATGTTAGATACTTTTGTAATTGAAAAAAATTTTTTTTTCTAACCCATCTCCCATGATGTTTACCCTAAGGAAGCCTGTTGGAAAGGCCTGTGAAATTTTCCCGTTGCTTTTCTAATTCTGATTGTACGTTCATGTGAATACAAGTACCCCTGCCCCATGATTTTGAAGCTTTCTGCCTGTGTCTAGGTGGCTTGGTGAGGCTAGAGCCCCGGACTGGTTCAGATTCCAGTCACAGCCTGAAGAGCCTGCGTGCATTACTTAAACCTCATTTCCTCCCCCTTTGAAGTAAAGGTTGTAACGTGGAGACCAGTTGACATTAGCCCAGGCTGGCGCAGCAGAGCTTTGCTATAGAGTCAAGTTCAGAATAGTAGGGGCCATCTGGCTGACACAGTGCTCGGGCTCTTGGTCAGATCTCAAGGGCTGTGGGGCAGTTGTCATGTCCTAAGATGACAGACACACAGCCGAGAATGGCTGTTCTCTGGCTCTCTGCGATGTCTTTTGCTCTAGGCCTCTTCCCTTTTAGAAGGGTTTTCATGTGTAAATTAGCTGCTCTTTAGGACAGATCTTTACTCTTTGTTTATTAGCTTCCCTACAGATAATCCTTTTCATTTCTTTTTGGTTCTTCTGAGACAGGGTTTCTCTGTGTAGCTTTGGAGCCTGTCTTGAACCAGGCTGGCCTCGGACTCACAGAGATCCTCCTGCCTCTGCCTTACTAGTGCTGGAATTAAAGGTGTGTGACGCCACTACCCGGCTTTTTTTTTTTTTTTTTTTTTTTTTTTTTTAAGCCAGGATGAGCACAGACAACTCAAAAGGACCTTCATCCCTAAACTGGCTTGACTTTGAGTCAGGAGGTGGGGAGGGGACATTTGTGAGTGTGGGTGTTGGGTGCACAGAGGAATGGGAAGGGGACAGATGTCTCAGGAGCAGCTTTGTGTAAGGAGCTGTGCATGGAGAGCCACCAGAGAGAGCCGGGTCACCTCCGCAGCCCTTGCTTTCTGCTCACACCCGTCTCTGTCAGAGACATGGCTCCCTGATGTGGTTGCTTCTGGAAGCTCCACACTCACCTGTTCCTTTCTCCCTCTCCTTTCCCAGATCAGAACGCCCAGCTCGTTGGACCTGGCCTTCTAGCTGCCTCTCAGACTTGTGCCTACAGGTTGCCCTGGTCAGAAGTGAACTCACAGCTGGGTGGACATGAACTGGAAGGTGAGGCTAGCTTTAACATTTATAGTTTGTGTTTTGTTTTTGTCTTTCTTTCTGCGGATGTCAGGCACATCAGTGGGACACCTGGGTTGATTAGCTGGGGTCCTTTTTATAGTTCATGGGGTCTGGAAGTTCCAGCCTTGCCGTGGACCATGGTGGGGATGACAGGTGGCTCGGGCAGAGAATAGACGTGGGTAAGATTTATCGCTCCTGGAACCGGTAAGCAAGGTGGAGGAAGAGACCAGAGCCACGCAGCAGACATACTTCAGTGACCTGGAGACCTCCCCTAAGGCCTCTCCCCTGAGGAAGGCTCACTACACTTCACCGTAGCACAGGGAACACGCCTTTAACATATGATACAAACCACAGCGTTCATGATTGTCAAAAGATTAACAGTGCTGTATCAGATCTAATGTTAATTAGCTCCGTCCTTCAGTAATTTCATGTGCGTGCATAATGCACACACTCTGTCATCTCTTCCCAATCCCGTGGCTTCCCTTCTTCCCAGGCCCGTTTGTCATACCCATGTCTGTTTCTTGTTTTGTGGCTGAGTTCAAACCAGGGCTGTCTGTCACCATGGGTTTGGAGCCTGAGTTTCTCTAATGTAGATGTGATGGGTAATGTTCGTGCCTCTCAAATGTATGTTGCCTTTCTGAGGTCCTGTGATGGTATTTAGAGGTGGAGCCTGTGGGGTTGATTATGTTGGAAGAGTGAAACTCTCATGAATTCAACGGGTGCCTGTGGTGGCTGACCTCAGTTGTCAGCTTGGGAGACAGGCTGCTAGCTTGCCTGTGGGGATTATCTTGAGTAGTTGTGGTGGGAAGACCCGCTCGATCCCTGCCATTCCCTGCTCCGGGTCCTGGACTGGAGCTGACTACAAGCGTTCTTTGGTTCCTTGTTTTCTGCTTCCTGATTATGGACACAGTGTGAGCGACCAGGCAACTCAGGCCCCTGCTGTCATGACTCCGTCACCATAGGCACTCTACCCTGGCACAGTGAACCACAATAAGCCCTACCTTCTTTAATGTGCTCTTGTTAGGGTGTTTTGTCACAGCAACAGACAAGTAGCTAAAACAGTGACCCCTCTTTCTGCTGTGTGAGGATACTAGAAGTCTGTAGCACATCCCGGAAGAGCCCCCCCCCCCCCATTAGCACATGACCAGACTATACTTAATGTCAGACTGCAGCTTCCAGATATCCATTTATAACTGTGCTACACAAGCCTGAGATGGTGAAGACAGTGGATTGAGATCTTACTAAACAATCTGTACAAAACTCTGAATTTTCATTGGGTGTTGATGACACAGGCCTTTAGTCCCAGCACTCAGGAGGCAGAGGCAGGCAGATCTCTGTGAGTTCGAGGTCAGCCTGGTCTACAAAGCAAGTTCCAGGGCAGCCAGTGCCATACAGGAAAATCCTGTCTCAGAAAGCAAAACAAATAAACAAAAACTTCAGAGTTCATGGTTCTCTTCCATAATCTCTTACAGTAGTTTTGCCAAGGACATTGTTTTTAGTTTTTTTTCCCCCCTAGCCACATGTGAGTCTCTCAAAGCTTTCAACTTAGTGTTCATGGAAATCACTTTTGAAGTCATAAACCACCCATTGGGGCACCAGGCATACATTGAACTGATTGGAGACGAATGGAGAAGATTCCTATAAAGTGTTGGATTCAGCTGTGGGGGCAGAGGTTGAGGGCAGGCAGAGCACAGCATGCTGGCTGGCAGCATTGGGCTGGCTGTGGGCAGTGGCATCCTCAGGGAAAGGACAAGATTCATTTAAATGCTTGAAACCCTAGAGGTAAGGTGGAGGTTGCTTAGCCAGGCTGGTGCACACCTGCAATCCCTGTAGGCTAGCGGTAGACATAGAAGGATTGTGAGTTCAGGGCCAGCCTTAACTACATTGGGAGGGTGCAGATAGGCAGATCCTAGGGGGCTTGCTGGCCAGCCAGTCTAGCCAAAACTGAGCTGAGCTCCATGTTCAGTAAAGAGTAAAAAAAAAATCATCATGCACACACAAGCAAATGTACTGGCACATGCAACACACACACACACAGAGCACACACAAACACACACACACACCACACACACACACAGAGCACACACACACACCACACACACCACACACATACCCCCCCACACACACACAGTACACAGCACACACCACACACACAGCACACACCACACACACAGCACACACCACATACACACACCACACACAAACACACACAGTACACAGCACACACCACACAGCACACACCACACACACACCACACACCCCCACACACACAGCACACCCCACACTCACAGCACACCACACATACACACACAGCACACACACACAACACACACACAGCACACAACACACACACACACACAGAGTTACTCTCACCCACCCAGCAGTAGTCATTCTCCTGCAGGTCTGCATGTTTTGAAAAATAAAAGATGAAAGAAAGTCAGAGGGAAACAGACCAGCTGGAAGGGCAGGAAAAGGGCATGCTCCTTAGCCCTTCAGTGCCCTCTGTTGGCATTGGTTGGCATTGCCCTCCCTCCCTCTCAGCCTGGAAAGTCTCTTTAGTGCCTATGAAAATGCAAATACACAATGAGGCCACTTAGCCTGCGCCTGTTAGTTGGATTTCCTTCTCAGTTTATTTTCTAACTTCCTGTAGAGATAACATGTTCCTGCCCTTGCTTGTGTCTTAGAGAACCATGGGCTGTGATGTGGGCTCCATCTTAGCAGGACTGCCAGGTATATCCATAGAGATAAGACAATCTTGTTCAGATCGAGCCGGTGTCAGCTAGCCCAGAGCAGCCTGGTGAACTGAGGGAGGTTTATGTGGCAATGCCGTACATTCACAGCCACCCTTGGAATGGGAACCTTCAGAAACGACACCTAACAGGTTTGGAAGTGAGGGAAGTTAGCCAGTAGGGCTCAGGAGGAACCACGTGACAGGCACATCAACAGCCTAAGCCCTTCCTGTTATCAGGGTCAGTGTCCATCACTGTCCTTTGTACTGTCATCTTCATGATGCTTCATTGCACCTAAGCTGTTTGACTCTACTCTTAGGTGGCTTAATGGTTAGAAGTGGAAATAGTTATTCACATACTTGGCACTTTCAATATTTAGCTTCACCCTGCCCATGGGATTCATATAGTATTCTATCACAAGACAACTCTCCTCAAAGATCATTAGATAGCCATGCCGAATGATTAAATAGCTTCCAGGGTATTGAATCCGGTTGAGTTGTCCCTGACTTGCGTGACTTAATTGTAAAATTGATTTTGGTAGGGGGTGTGGTATGTGTTACCAGGAAATAAGGGGTGATGGATAGTAGGGCCTGGGTTGAGGTCCCCTTACCTGTTAGTGGCCTCCTCATAGTTTATTTCTTATCTATTCAGTCAGAGCTGTCTGTCCCCTCATAGGGCTGGAGTGTGGGCAAAAGGAGAAACACAGAAGATTCTTAGGGTACAGGAACTTTCCCAAATACAGCAACCGAAGCTGTATCTGCTAAATGTAAAATCCACAACCACGGGTGAATCACAAAATTCACATAAATTGGATAAATTGGAATCAGGAGTGGGAGACTGGTTCAGTCTAACCCTGGCCCTCTCTCTGGCCCCTTAGACTAGCTTTCTGAACAGCCTAGGTCTGCCTACCAAGGGCTGGTGTCACCCATAGTGAGCTGAGCCCTCCAATGTCAATTAATAATCAGACAATCCCCACAGACATGCCCACAGGCAAGTCTGGTCCAGGCAACTCCTCCAATCTAGGCTTTCCTCTCAGATGACTCTAAGTTATATCAAATTGTAAGTTAAGCTAACTAGGACACCAGTGTGGCCCAAGCTCTAGCCTGTTTGAAACATTGTATAAGCTAAGGCACCTGTGTGACCCAAGCACCTGGCCTCTGAAACACTGTAGCTAAGACACCAATGTGACCCAAACACCTAGCCTCTGTTTGAAACATTGTAGCTAAGCTAAACCACCAGTGTGACCCAAGCACCTGGCCTCTGTTTGAAACATTGTAGCTACGCTAACTAAGATACCAGTGTAGCCGTGTCTAGCCTCTGTTTGAAACATTGTAGCTAAGCTAAAACACCTGGCCTCTGTTCGAAACATTGTAGTTTCTCAGTAACATTTGAGGAATGAAGGAGTCCGATTGAGACTCACCAGTGACTGCGGGAGCAATCAGCATGTGTCTTTCTCCCTTGAGGTTCTTGAACACGTGCCCCTGCTGCTGTATATCTTGGCAGCAAAAACCCTGATCCTTTGCCTGGCCTTTGCGGGAGTGAAAATGTACCAAAGGAAAAGCCTGGAAGCCAAACTGCAAGCCGAAAAGAAGCAGCCATCAGAGAAGAAAGAGACCTGAAGGGACATCAGAGGTACTGGCCTTTGTAAACGAGACCATCCAGAGGGCTGTCGTGCCCAACAAGGGTGTGGTACCCTGAGATCTCTGAATCGTTGATCTGAGTGGCTTCGAGAGGACGCATGGGCCCCAGAGCCAGGGTTCAAAGCCCAACCCTCTGCCCCACTCCTGACCACTAATTCACAGAGCATCAGTCCTCAGTTGTGCTTAATGGCTGTGTGTGTAAGAGTCTTATCAGTTGCAGACTTGTGTTCTGAGAAGCCCAGTACTAAAAGCTGCAAACAGTGATGCATGAGTCTGTTAACATGCCTGGTGGAGGAACAGATGGAGATGCTCAGGTCCTAGGACTCCTGTTAACTTTCAGGATGAGGTCTGACTCTCTTGTGGCAAATAATTCCCTTCCCCGTCCATCCACAATCTAGCCAAACCTCATTTACCCCCTCTCTAGTTCACTTCCACAGTGGAGACCCAGTGCTCCTAACAGCTCCTCCCCAGGCTTGGGGCCTGTGCATTGCTCTAGCTGGTGTCTCTCAGTGTGCTTGGGATGGGGTGGGAGGGCTCCAGAGCATGCTAAGGTGTCTCGGGACTCAAGGTTCCTGGGGGCTGTTCTTAAAGCCTTGTCAGAGAGATACCATGATGGTTGTCTCTCCTGCATGAATCTGTTTCTTCACTGACAAAGCTGGAACCTGGGCCTCTCAGAATTCAGATATGGTGAGCAGGGATTCTGGATTCTAGATTCCAGTTCCAGAATCCAGCTGCAGAGCAGAATTTCCTGCACGGCTGAGCATTTCCTACACCCCTGCACGTACGTACACAGCTGCATGGATGCTGTGTTGCTTGTTGAGAAAACAGCGTCCCAGACTTCCACCACAGGAGGCCACGATGTCCCTGTTCCATCTGGGCAGTCCTTCTCTGGAAACCCACCGGGGGACTCTTAGTGTGCTCAGCTCCAGGTCGCTGTGGGAACCGGCTGCACAGCACTGCCCACCCGACACCATGCTTCTGAAAGCAGGCGTTCCCCGGGTGGTTGGGAGTAAAGCAGGCAAGACGGGGGGCACCGAGGAGTAACTTGGGGGCTAGGCAATTTTACTATGCATTTCCTGAAAACTCTCTGAGGTAACATCAGACGGAAAGAACAGTGGAGAGGAGAGCTGGGAATTGAACTTACTTACCCACAATCTGTGTCATCCCCCAGCTGTACGAAAATGAGACCAGGGGAGCATTACAGTCCTGCCACTAAGGCTGTCACCACTCGAGGGTGCTCAGGGAGTGCAGACTTGCAGGCAGAAGAAGCCACTGCATGGAACCTTGCCATTCAGAAACTGTCCTAATGACAGGAACGCAAAAATAACCAGGAGGTGCTTGGCTTCAACACTAGTTGGAGGAGAGGGAGTGGCCAGCATTTTAAAACACCGAGGGACGATAGCGTTAGGTGAAGTGTTGGTTGGATTTGTGTTGCAGACGGAGCCATGGTTCTGGTTAGCTCTCAGATGGGAAGATAGGCTGTGACGTCGGTGCCCACTTTTAAAGTCCCACTTTTCCATTGAGCCAGCGCCGGAGCATGGTGTGCACACATAGAACTGACCCGTAGATGGCCTCTCTCAGGCTAGCAGCTTGTCACAGGGAAATGGCCTTTCTCTCAGTCCAGCGGCTTGTCCAGAGCCTGCTTTAAAGACAAGAATCTGATTAGCAGGTCAGGCAGAGTGGCCTCCACCGGAGCTGGGATGCTTGGGCATTGAGGCTGGCCATGCAAAGCGTCGCTGCTGTATCCAGCGCCTCCTTCATTGCTGTGGTCTCCCTTCCTTTCTAGATTTTTCTATTTAAATGTCAGCTTGGGTGGACTCCAGCAGAGAAGAGAGAAGAGAGGCCTATCAATTACCCGATGTCAGCGAGTACACTTGCAGCTGAGACCTTTAATTTAAATGATTAACAGCGTGACTTTTTTATGTTTTTGGAAGAACTAGTATTTTGTTACTGAAATAAAATACATTTCCTAAAAAGGCTGTCTGCATTCTCTCCCCCCTCCATCCCCCCTTCACTTCCTCTTTCTGTCCTCCCACTTCCCCCTGGCACACGCTGGTTGTGGAGTTGTGATAGCAAATCTTGGGTGTATGTGCACGCATGCCCAGGTCGAGGGCAGCGTTGCTGAGGGTCCTCAGCAACAGCAGCCTCAGTCAGCTTGTCCCCACTCACCACCATGCTCCTTCCGGTGCAGCTTATTCCCATGGTGACTGTGTGTACCATCAGAGAAGCTGTGTGCTTGTCTATGACAGAACCATGAGAGGGGACCCTTGTGCTGGTCTGAGAGGGTCCCTATGGTCGGGGATAGCAGGGTGAGAGCCACGTAATGTCACAGCAGCTCACAGTCTAGAAAGAGCTACTTCATGGAGGCATGCTGACTTGCACCTGTAAGCCTAGAATTGGGAGGCGGGAGTAGGAGGATTGCAAACAGAGGCTAGCCTGTGCTACATAGTGACTTCTTGACGGATTCGATGCTTTCCCATCTGAGAAGACAATGGTGAGCTCCTTCACTCAGCGCCTAACAGACTGGGGTCTCAAGGGTTAGTTCTCTCACCTCAAGGCACCCAAGTGGGTGGAGGGAAGGGGAACAGGAACCAGCCCTGGTGTGCAGGGAAGTGCTGGCTGCTGGTATAGAAAGTTTACAGGAGCGCGTGACATTCTGCCACTCTGCCCACCAAGATAGAACATGGACAGTAAGGGAATTGCATATTCTTTTAATTTTTTACTAAGCTTGCTGAATTGTCCTAGCCACCGCAGAAACCAGGAAAGAATTATCAGCACCAGGGATCCAAGTACAGGATGACCCTCAGTTCACAGGGGTAGATGTCAAAACAGGCAACAGGGTTTGTTCCCTGAGAGTGCGGGAGGGTGCCCCAGCCGCCACCTCTTCTCTGACCCACCCATTCTGGCCTGGGGCTATCCCGGGGCATAGATGAGCAGAGTCACAAAGTTTTAGGTTCTGTGGCCATGCCTAGATGGAGCTTACATCCTGATCCACAGCCAACTTCATGCCTTGGTCATGCTTCCCTGTAGCTGCCAGGTGGACCCACTCCATTTCAAACCTCTCACTCTGTAGAGTAAGGGCATAGCCAGCTCCCAGCATGCCTGGCTTGACTCAGGGCCCTGAGGACCACCTCCCACGCACACCCATCTACATTCAGGAGAGAGGTCCCCACTTCAACCAGAGAGCCCAAGTCTGCCTGACCAGGAGGTTATTTATTTGTAACTCACCTTCCTGGGTGTTGGGATTTAAAGTTTACCCTTTGACTTTGCAGAACCCATGGCTGTCTTCTTGGAGCATTCCACAGACGATGACCTAGGGTTGGGCTTAACCACTGACCATACCCATTACTTTTCTGTGAACAATATAGTTTATGTTGTCCCCCCCCTCTGTACTCTTCTGCCACTAGGGGGCAGATAATCAATCACTCACTACCCACGTTGATCCTATTGCATTTGAAAATGAAGCCTGGGGGTCCTTAGCTGTACTTTAAATAGTTGGTTCGGAAGCAATGTCTGGAAGTTGGTGGGCAGGCAGGATGGTGCAGCCTACGGCCAGCTGGGCCATAACTGAGAAGGCACAGTTAGAAAATAGCTGACGTGACAAAGAACTTGCTCTCCCTGTGAGACATCCTGTGTGTTCCCTGGGCGGATCTCTGTTAACCTCGCATGCATCCCTGATCTGCCTTCTCGGCTAAGCTGACAAAGAGGCGCAAAAAAGAGGAGAGAGGCTGTCAGAGGGAACAGCAAGGGAGACAAACCAACCAGGCCAGAGAACCCTGCTCTCCACATGTCCCACAGTGTGGTCGGTGGCCAGCAGCTCCAATCATGCACCCACATGAGGACATTTGTCCCTTACTGCGACCTTAGGAAAAAAATGGTTAAGTAGCTTCACACACCCTGGTTTAGGAAGCAGAGATGGTTGCAATGCGTTTCAGAGGGCACGGGACCCTGGTCTGCGCAAGTTCCATGGAAGGAAACAGATACTCAATGACTGGTTCCTAAGGGTTTGCGCGTGCCTAGCCCTCATGGTTTCGTTCTGTGGGTGTTCCAGAGTTTTCTCAGCACAGGATCAGTGCCAAGCTTCAGGATACCGTGATGGGAGGTCTTGAGACATGAGTGTGGGGGAGAGCCCTCTCTCTGCTTCCAGACTTGCTGCCTGCCATTTTAGCTCTAGTTTCAGTGAAAGACCCTGCCTCAGAGGAGCAGGCAGAGAGTGATAGAGCAAGTCATCCGGTGCCCTCCTTCCTCTATGCATGTGCAGGCGTGTAAATCCGCACATACACACGTGCACACACACCACATTCACACACATACTCACACAAGGGTGGATGAGATGGGCTGCGGAGGCTCAACTGCAGAGTACTGGCTTAAGGCTCTGGGTCCCAACCCTAGCACTGCAAATAGTAAATTTCAGAGAGAGAAAAGCTCTGCATCTGCCCTTTCTCCTTTGCCTGCTGGAATGCTAATGCAGTGGCTCGCTCCTCGGCCATTTTGAACGACGACGACGAGGTAACTTTGAGGCTCAAACCAGGTCTAAGATAATGGAGATGTGACAGAGTCCATGCGGGTGTCATGGCAGCCAGGGGAAAAGTCTGCAAAGAAGTAAGAACGAAACACCGTTCAGCCTGACTTAACCTGGACCAAACTTCAGGAGTCGGATGCCAGGCAGTTTATTGCCAGCACATTTAAGCAATAGAATTTGGGGAAAGGTTTCCAGGCAACAAGCATTCCCATTCCAGGGTTCCAGAAAATAACCATTACAATCCCAGGTGCACAATTAAGTTTATGGTGTGAACACCAGGGTCTATAGTGTAAGGGCCCAGGGTGTCATCCCTGACAGGAATAGCATAGAGGTCGGCAGGTTATAACGTGTCTGTGATGTCCCCCCCAGGAGCTAACGATAAAAGTCTGGGGAGGGAAGAGTCTGGGGTAAACACCCTGGGAGATTTGGATGAGGTCTGCCTCTACAAATAGCGAAGGTCACCAGGCTATTAGTGGCCTCCACTCCCAGCTCTCTGGGCAGAATGCAGATATGCTATCTCCTCCATTGAAGAGACTACCCTGTGTATTTAGCATCCCTGTTTCCCTTGATCTGTGGGTAAAAAGACCTTTGTGTTTCCAACACAGCTAGGATGCTGGGTCCTGGTGCCTGAGGGCCATTGTGTCCCCTGGACAGCCAGGCCCCCTTGGCACTTCTTACTTTGAGCAGGGAAGGGACTGCACCTGGCAGTCTGGTGACATCTCTGTGGATTCCTGGCCCAACCTAATGCCAGCTGGTGTGCAGGGCCATGGAGAGATGGGCACAGGGGCATCCCGGCAGCAAACCCGGATTCTGGTTTCTCATCTTCCCATCAGCCGCGGTGTGTGTCTAGCTGTCAGTCACCAATCCAGCCATGTCTGTGTTTATAAATGGGCCTAACAGTCATTGTCCTGGGCACAAAGGTTGTCTGAACCCAGCAAAACTGAATATGGAAAGAAAAGCTTCCATTTGCCGAAAGAAAATCTCACACATGGATGAAGTATACACTGCTTGTGGGACTGTCAACCTGGGTTAGGCCTCTAGAGCCAATAGGTAAAGATTCTATTTGTGGATTATGTTACTTACTTTTCTTACATGGGGGCGGAATGGGACTCTAAAGGAGGAAGGATGTACTTAGACTCAGGTATAGCCCAGGTAGGACGTGGTCCTGGTAGGGCATGGTAGGGCAGCTGCCATTTGGTGGCAGGAGCTTGCAGAAATGGCTGCATCAGCAAGGAAGAAAAGAAGGAAGGGAGGGAGGGAGGGAAGGAGGAAGAGAGGGATGGAGGAAGAGAGGGAGGGAGGTAAGGAGGGGGATTGGATGCAGAACAGGGGAAGGATGTAGCCCTTAAAGTTTTTCCTCCAATGACCCCCTTTTCTTGTTAGACCCATTTAGTAACCCATGCTTCGGGCATCATCGGTCGGGTCCAGCTGGCCTGTTCGGTTCATACCTGAGAGGGGGGTGGATTGAGGAAGGAAATGGGCAAGAGACAAGAGAGAGAGCCGGAAGGGCTCCTGGTGAGTACTAGGATCAGCCCCAAGTTTATTATTCAAAGTTCGTATATACCCCAATCAAGGGGGAGGGCAAAAGACTTCCTTAGCATGCTACAAAGAACAAACAAGCATAATTACCTTCTCAATACCCAAGACATTAAATAACCACACCCTGAACCAAATGTCCTGTTGTCAAGGTGAGACATCCATTAGCTACACTTTAGGGCAGACATCCTGTTGTCAAGGCAAGACACACAATAGTCACACCATAGGCCAAACATTCTGTGGATTTAGCCTTGGAGGAGCAATAATGGGCTCCGGTGGGGCCAATAGCCACGGCAGCAGGAAGGCCAGGGAGAGTGGGGTTGTCTGTCTGTCCGTCACCCCTCAGAAGAGACTACACTGCCAACACCACTCCACCAGGACTTGTGCCTGCAGTGATGTCCCTCAGCCCAGTGCTGTGTGTGCTGGCGTGTGCACTGGTGTGTGGGCCGATGTCTGATGTGTGCTCTGGTGTGTGTGTTGGTGTGTGTGCTGTTTGGCATGTGTGCTGCCATGTGGACTGGTATCCGGTGTGTGTGTTGGTGGGTGTGTGCTCTGGCGTGTGTGCTGGTGTGTGTAATGGTGTGTGTGTTGGTGTGTGCTCTGGCGCATACGCTGATGTGTGGACTGGTATCCGGTGTGTGTGTTGGTGGGTGTGTGCTCTGGCGCGTGTGCTGGTGTGTGGCGCTGTCCACTATTACCTTCCCTGGGCTCTTCCCAAGGACTCTGGGCTGTGTTCTCCAGCTTCACTGTCCCATCTCTGCACCTGTGATTCCCATAGCCATAACTGCCAGGGAACAGAGTTTGCTCCTCAAATAACAGAAAGGTCGTGAAGATGGAGACATTAGTTTAACTGCGATCACTTGCTTTGACCTCAGCCATGACACCAGCTTCATTCCGAGCTCTCAGTAAGGGCTAGGCATATGTGATGGTTTTGGCATGTGTGACTCCATTTTAAGGCCCTCAACCCATTCTCCTGATGACTGATTGGGCCTCTGGGAAGTAAAGCAGCTTACAAAAAGTCTCAAGATTCTCCCAGGGGCCCTGGTTCCCAAGGCTCTGACTCTCTACTTTAGTTCCTGTGTGTACCTTAAAAACACATTTCACAGTTGTGAATCTGGTGTTGCATAACCACAGTGCACACTAAGGTGCCCCGTTGAGGGCGCTGGTTATGCTGAACTCTCTCCTGCTTGCTCTTTGAATCACTAAGCAGAGCTCAAAGCAAGGGCCAAGCCCGCCGTATCGAATGGTTTCACTTCCAGATGAGAAACACTCCCACTCACTAAGCTTGGTCATCGAATGCCCAAAGGATATGCGATTGCTTATTCACTGTTTGTATTTGCTTTGTCCTGCAAACTCATGAGGTGTCTGCCTCCCCCTCAACTTTGTGTGGGAATACGTTTTTGTTGTGTGTGGTGTGTAGCTGATCCTGGGTGGTGCCGCGTTGACTTTCTTACAGGATGTAAGTGAGGGAAGTAACCAAGTGAAGCATGTAGATTGTGAGTACACGGCTGTCCGTGTGGCCTGACTGTGTTAGGAACTTTGCTCACCTCTCAGCTTCCTTATCCGTCAAAGGGAAGAGTAACAGCAGCTGCCTGGCAGGTCAGCTCAGTCATTAAGTGTGACGTGGTAAAAAAGAGGCATCGTGGGTAGTGACGTGGCAAATATGGCAGCGTGTGTAGGATGTGGTAAATGAGGCAGTGTACCAGTGCCTTGACTGTGAGCCCGCATCTTAATCTTAGCTCTGTGCACAGCAGCAGCTCAAACAGCTGCTCTGGGCTGCAGGTTTCCACATGGGTGAAATGTAGACAGTTATTCCTACATTGAAGCTGTTGTGGTGCCGATGAGTAACCGGCTCCTTTAGACACACACAATGCCTGGCAGGAGGGTTGGCACCAGAGCCCAAGGTTCTTACCCTGAAGCTGTCACCCACCTCCTGCTGTTTCCAGCACTTTCTCGCCTTATGACTCTGGGTGGTGTGAAGTCAATATAACCAAAGGGCGACCCCACACGCGGCCCCAAACTCAGGTGTGCTAGACTTGCCTCTGCACAGTGACAGCTGAAGAGACCGGGAGGCCTAAGTACTGGTCACACTAGCTGCTCTCAAGGAATTTAACCCTCAAAGCACTAGAGGAATGGCCACACAAGCGTGCTACACAGAGTTGGCTCCGCAGCTTGATTGCCGGAGAGAGATGCTGTATTTTAAGGAGCAGAATAAGGTACCAGTGGTTGCCGGGAGCTGCCTTCAGGTCCTGCTTCCTGGAGCCTGTGCTGCCTTATATGCAAGAGAGTCCTTGCATGTGTTAAGGGCGTTAGGCTGTGAGGAGAAGGTCAAATGGACTCTATAAGTATGAAGATGGGAGGTGTGACCCTGAGGAGAAGAAAGTGATGAGGCAGCTAGTCAAAGGTCGGGAGAGCCACCGGGAACTGCCAGGGGTTTGTGGCAGTCTTCCCTGGAGCCCCGAGCAGTGGGCCATGCTATTTATAGTTCGATTCCGACCAGGGGACCTGATGTCTGCCTCCCTGTGCCCAGGGAAGAATAAATTGTTCCTTGCAGCCACCAACTTTGCAGGCATTTGTTAGAGCAGTCACCGGAAGCTCGTCCGGCACGCTGTAGAAGTTGGATCTGCAACAAGTGGAACTTTGTAGGTCCCAAGTGTTAGCAGTTTGGGGTGTGACACCACCTAGATAAGATTCATGTATGTCAGGGTCCCCTTTTCCTCCGACTTGAAAAGATTGCTGAACCCACCACTTATGACGGAAGAACACCGGGCACCTCTTTCCATTCGACAACCTCCCTGATGGCACAGGAAGGCCCTAGGAAGAAGAAAAGCCAAGCCAAGCTAAGAATATGATAGGAGCCTGGATTCACAGCTTCGTCTGCTGGGAGACGGTGGAAATTCTCATAAGCTTTTTTTTTTTTTTTTTTTTTTTTTTTTTTAAACAGACTGTCTCTAGAGCATTTTTTTTGGGCAGGGGGGACTAGGCAAAACTGAACACAAAGAGCAGAGTTCTCAAGCCCCCTTGGCTCCTGCCTCGTGGCTTTCCGTATTCTTCCACACTGGTCATTATGCTCCTCAGAGTAATTACTTGTTGTAAAGTCATTGCTTGCGCGTACGCAGGGAAGAGTGGACTTTTGGGCAGGTGTCAGAGGGGACAGGCTCTTTCGGTAACAGACGCGCACCCACCCATCGCTCTGGCCCACAGCAGGCACCCTGAGTTTGAATAGGGTGTGGCACCAACCGCAGATGCTGAGCTCAGAGTCCTCAGATAAACCGTGGCAGCCTTGGACCCTCCTGACGGGTCTTTGCAGGTTGGGTATGTGTGTCCCATAGTGTCCCCAGTCATGCCACCATTAGACTGTGTGTGTCTCCCTGGCTTCCTTCCGAGGACCACCCACTTGCAGCACCGCCACCACCTCACAGAGGAATGGCGTCTACCAAAGATCATGTCTCCTGCTCATGGCAAGCTGGATCCTCCTAGATTATTTTGGCTGAAGATTATTGGCTTAGTACTTAATTTTGAGTGTTTTTATTTCTTAAGTAACTCTACACTTGTCTCTCTCTCTCTTTTTTCCTTAGACCTAACTTTTGACCATGCATCCTTTAACCCTGCTCCCTAACTGCTACAGTCCACTGGCTTTGAGTCTTCACTCCTGTCAACACGGTCCTTTAGGGTAGCCATCATAAGATGAGAGCCAAGACCCCCCGTAATTCTCAACAAGCTTTAATGGAACCTCTTAACAGCTGCAGGGCTTTGGCAGCCCCCAGGAACCTCTCAGTCCAGGCAGCGTTCCTGTGAGTCACCCCTGCAGTGTGGGCCAGAATCCAACTCCACAGTTAGCCATGAAGGCCACAGGGCCCGCTGCTTCGTGGAGGGGACACCCCCTAAGAAAATTTCCCAAGATAATAGTTTTCCCACCTCCGCACTTTGTTGGTTAGGGCCTTCCACTTGCTCAGGCTGACCTTTTCAATCCCTTTGCTGATTAAGTCACTGAAAAGTATATACTGGTAAGTGTAGACGTTGTCCACAGACTGTAGACAGAACTCTTTCCTGTTGTTGATGATAAACCATTTCATAGACGACCAGGCCGAGTCTAAGGGGTTCAGGTAGTTATACGGGGAGGGCAGAGAGATTAGTTCATGGCCATAGGACTTGGCCACTCCCGGGGAACACACGATGCTTGTTAAGTTAATGCTTGTCGGGACATAGCCCTGGGCCTCTCCGTCCTTGTCTACTTTTGGCTTCATCTCCTCTTGCTGCCTTCGCCCTTTGACCACGATGACACACTTCCCATAGGCCTTCTTTACGACGTCACAGAACTCAAAGAAGAGGCTGTCTTCCTGTTTGATACACAGGTCGTCCTTTAAGAACATCCGGTATTTCCAAGGCACCCACCCCTGGCTGCCTCCGGCATGCAGGATACACCAGGTGGGGGCGTGCACGTGATAGTTGTCACTGAAGTCTTCTCCGGTGACCAGAGTTTCCGGGATCTCGGTTTCCCCAAAATACACAGTCTTATACCCATCGTACTGCAGCATCCTCAGAGTGTTCAGATACTGCAGGCACTGCTGCTTCCTGATGCTGTCAAACTGAGCTCTGATAACGATGCTCTTCAGGAGGGAGTTTGTTAAGCGAGCCATGGGGACTCCCCAAGTGGCTCACATCTCCGCATCTGGGGAGGTCTGGAAGGAGGAGGACAATGACCTCATAAAGGGTCTTCCCACTGCCGTAGCTACACTTCACACGCAGAGCATCCTGGGTCTCATGCTCAGAACACTAACCACAGACGCTGCTGCCCTGCATCACTTTGGGGCAGGCGTTTTATGGTGGTCAAGTTTCTGGCTCCCCTCCGTTTGGATTATCATGTGCATCCATCCATTCCAAAGGTATTTATTGTGCCGTGTGCCAGGGGATAGCCATGATGTGTCCAGGGAGGCCGGGATGTGAGTGCTGTGTGCCCGTGGGCACATGCCACCTGCCTGTCTACCTTTACAGCTCTTTTCCCAGGTGACAAACAAGCTGCCTACCTGTCTCTCTGCCAAAACTGAGCTGACTCACTATTTTATTTGAAAAGCATTTGATGTGATATAGCTTTTTGAAGCAAGGTCTTGCTATGTAACCCTAAGTGGCCCTGTATTTGGCCCAGGCTGGGCCAAATACTTTTAGCAATCCTCCTGACCCATCCGTTTAAATTCTGCGATCACAGATCGACAGGGACCCTTGGGAATAGACAGCTACGGTTCCTGACGCCCAGGTTAGTTTGGAGAGAAACACGGTTTTTCCTCACTCAAATGGATATGTTGGCATTCAGGTACAGAGGTGGTTTGGTTTCTTGTAAATAAAAAGGTAAAGAATGTGATTTAGTTTCCCCCAGTGCTCACAGTAGCCCCACGGAGCCTCTATGGAATGTGGGCTGAGAAACTCTAGTCTGGTTCAAGCTTGTTGTAGCTACCAGTACTGTTTCCTGTTAGGTCACTGGGCGGGTGGAAGTTGTGATATCTTGAGGTGATGACCCCTTCCTTCCAGGCTATAGTATGTAGTGGTCCAGGCTGTGGGGATCATCCTCCAACACAGTGTTTGACCAGCCTGCTCCAGTAGGCCTGAGCTCGGCCCCAGCCCCCAGCCCCCAGCCCCCAGCCCCCAGCTCCCTGCTGTGTTCCAATGAATGATACCACAAAGGAGTGACCTGAGCTATGGTCAGCCATCTCTATAGGCAAAGTCTGCTGGGCTCTGCATGAGTAGGAGCACCTCTCTCCTAATAGTGAGTGTCCGTTTCCTAGAAACAAATAGAGAAGGAGTCTGTTGGCTTCTCCTGGCCATACAGTTACTAACGGACGGGCGTGAAGTGCCACAGTCATTCCTTGGCCTTCCAGGTGAGGGTCCAGATAGACAGGGGTCACAGAGTGGGACAGACATTGCTCTTCTAACCCCAACCCCCGCCCTGAGCTGTGGAAGACCACCCCACTGGCGTCAGGCTCCTCGCTCGCTCTCTGTCTGGAAGGAGAGCAGTTTGGGGACAGGAGCATGTCCTAATTAGCTTTAGCTTTCAAGGACAGGCCTAGGACAGAGTCCTCTGAGGGAGTGTCCAGGGCTGTGACGGGTCATCTTGATTGACAGTTGATGTGGCCAGTGAGCCTCTGAAGGTGGGGCTGTGTAAGAAAGCTAGATGAGTGTGAGCCAGGGAGCCAGCTAGTCAGCAGTGTGCATCCCTGGCCTCCGCTTCCAGCCCCCCTTGAGCTCTTCAGTGACGGACGGTGACCTGGAAGTGTAAGCTGAATAGACCCTTTCCTCCCCAAGTTACATCTGTCCTGGTGTTTGTCATACTAACAAAAAGCAAACTAGGATTGGAGTGGAGACATTGCAGGGCTTCAAAATCTGATAGACGTAGCCCCGAGACTTCCGCTGGCTGTGTGACAACGTACAGATCTCTTAGCTTCTCTGGCCTCGGCTTCCTGGAACCACCGTCTGTGAGAGGGTGGTCAAGGCTGGCGTGTGTAAATGCATCAGCACTTCGGAAGGTCCTTCAAACCCAGATCCCTCCCTTGAAGGTTTAATGGTTGCCGGCACAGACAAAGTGTGGGTACAGACAAAGTGTGGGCACAGACAAAGTGTGGGCACAGACAAAGTGTGGGTCCTGTTTGTCCCCCACTTGCTCTTCATCCCCCTGGGAGCATCCGCTGGCAACTCTGGGCTTAGACCAACAGCATACTCCATCACAGCCAGCTTTGGTTGGGGTCCAAGGTGTCTGTGTTGTGGCTTGTATGTAAAGTATCCCCCCCTACAGGCTCATAGTTTGTGAATTTTGTCCCTAAATGATGGCATATATTTGAACGTGGTGTAAAAATGGGGGTTGAGTGTGAGTGGAGGAAGTGGTCCCCAGGCCCCCCCCCTCCGTCTGCATCCTACAGCCATGACGGGAAGATGCGCCCTCACCGGCGCCTGCCACCCCAATGTTCTGTTCAAGTGCCTAGAAGCAAGAGACTCTGGCCAAACCCTCAGCAACTGGACCCCAAGTTAATCTTTCCTCCCGGAAGTGACTCCCTCCTTCCAGGGGTTTTTGTCACAGCTGTGCAGAACTAAGCAAGATGGCCTGTGTCCTCCAAGCCCTCATAATCCTTGGGGTTCTTTCTTTCACCACTGGGGACTCTGGTTCTGGAGGAGCCAGCCCTGGTCCTGCCTCTCTGGGTGCAGATCGGTTTCACCCTTGACAGAAATCTTGTCTGGCCCTTGTAAGGCAGAGTGTGGGATCAAGCTGGCCTCTGCTTTCTGTGTGTGTGTGTGTGTGTGTGTGTGTGTGTGTGTGTGTGTGTGTGTGTTTTGCTAATTAAGATTTTCAGTGTGCTCCAAGTGATGTGTAAGTAGGGGCTGTAGGACAAAGGACAGTTTGGCTCCCTGCTACCTATGTCCTGATGAGGCTGGTCCATGCCTGAACAGACTGGTGGCCGCTTACTTGTGTGTGGAAGGTGATGACAGCCTTTTACAAGCCAGGAGGGCTACAGCTGTGGCTCAGACAGCGCCCTCCTGACAAAGGACAGTGGCAGTGTTAATATTCTCCAAAGAGCTCCGGCTTTGTGTGTGTGTACATGGAACTTGACAAGCGACCGTTGCTGACTGTTCTCACTGTGTCTACTTACGGTAAGAATGTAGACTCCGCGTGATGTGTGTCCCATGGTGCATCAGTTAGTTACTGGGCAGCTCATGCATACTCTCCTGGCAGGGTCCGTCATTCCTGCCAGGCTGGGAGAGTCTGGCGGACGGGGGCGTCCCTGTGCTCTGAGCTACACAGAACAAAGCGAGGGCGGTTGCTAATAAATGTAGCCCTGCTGTGGCTCCTGGGTCTTTAAAACGAAGTCACTTTGTGTGACATCCCCAGCGCCCACATGTTCCAGGTGATCATCTGCCACTCAAAAATGTACACGACCCAGAAGGTGAATGTCGATCCCAAGCATTCGACTCCAAGCTCAGCCTTCGTCCATGACAAGAAGACATCCCTTTGTCCCCCGGAGCCATCCCCAAGCCCCTCTGGGAACCCCCAGCCCCACTCCAAACTGTGGCTTCTGTTGTTTCTTCTTATCATGCCGGAGAACCCTGAGAATAAGCTGCTGGTGACAGTTCACACTCAGACGTGTCCATGGCCAGAGATGCTCACCCTGCCCTAACCCAGGGTTCCGTTCCTTTCTCAAGATCCCAGGCAGGCCCCGAACTGCTCCACCCATGAAGGGCTCCCAGTGGCGGTCTGCTGGCCTTGACTTTCGGGGGACCCTGTGGGCTCCTGTGTGAGCCTCCTGTGTCACCCTCACTCACCCTTTGGTTCCAGGCCATCTTGAGGCTGATGGGCAGCGGGGTTCCTGATGATGAGAGAACACTCGGCCACTTTGCTCTGAAACCCTCCTTTCCTTTCGAGTTCAGAAGTTAAGTTTGAGTAGTAAATGTCGTCCAAGGACCTCTCATCTCTCCTGAGGATGTTGCTGGCCATCTGGAAGATGAAGATCACACCATAGATGCCGATGATGGCGAGGATGTACCAGGCGGGCGCCAGTGGTATCCAGCAGCCTCAGGTTCCTGGTGGAATTGGTGCAATTCCTCCCCTCCACAGGGTCTCGTAGGAGCGGGCTGGACTGGGTCTGGTTGAAGGCTTCCTGGGGTTTCCACTTGATCACTGCGGAAACAGAGACCCAGATGAGACAGAGTTTCCTGTGCTAAGAATGCAGGTCCATATCCAAGACCATGGCGGTTCGTGCCTGGGACAGCGTGTGGAGGCTTTCTGTGCAACAGGCGAGAACCTACCAACATATATGCCACACTCCAGAAAAAAATCAACACTTCAAAACAGAGTCTTTGAATATAATATCAAATTTAACCACACTTAACATTGTTTAAATGTGCTTGCATGCCAGAAAAGCAGAGTCCGGGAGAGCAAAGAGATGGCTTATGGGTAAGAGTGTGTGTTGCTCTCGCGGGGTCTGAGTGCACTTCCCAGCGCCCATGTTAGGTGGCTCCCAACTGCCTGAACTCTGACCCTGAACTCCAACCCCTGAACTCTGACCCCAGGGACCTGTGCACCTTCTGGTCTCCTTCACACATATACAGAGACAAATGCGTCAGCACATAATTAAAAATAAAAGCTTTAAAAAACGTGCAAATGGCGAACTGCATAAACAGCGCCAATTATACTACTCAACAGCCTTCAGTCCTAAAAGAAAAGAATCTAAAGTCTCGGTAGAAAGACATGCAGTCGGATCACAGGAAAAAGGCAAAGGAATGTCAGCCTGAGAAATGTGTGCATTAAAAACGGGCTCGTGTGTATGGGGCAATGAGGGCCGCTGGCAAGTGTACGTCTGTTCTGTCCATAGAGAGGGCTTCTTGGCAGGATCTGTGGACACTGAAGATGTCCCCTGACCCTGCCACTTGTCCTGAGCAACTTGTCCAAAAGGCACTCCAGCACAGGCCTGAACTACAGAATCAGGCCCCACACCCCCAGATCCAGCTAGCCACAGATAAGGAGCATTTGCAATGAAGACACTGAGCTTGTCCTGAATGCCTAAGGGCCTTTCTCCTTCTGTTATTCCCTAAACAGTACACTGGAACAACTCTTTACATGGCATTTACAAGTGGCTGCACCGGAAGTAGTGTAAAGATG